ATCACAGTAACCATAAAAACCATCACAGTAACCATGACAACCATCACAGTAACCATAACAACCATCACAGTAACCATAACAACCATCACAGTAACCATGACAACCATCACAGTAACCATAACAACCATCACAGTAACCATGACAACCATCACAGTAACCATGACAACTATCACAGTAACCATAACAACCATCACAGTAACCATGACAACCATCACAGTAACCATAAAAACCATCACAGTAGCCATAACAACCATCACAGTAACCATAACAACCATCACAGTAATCATAACAACCATCACAGTGACCATGACAACCATCCACAACAATACCATAACAACCATTACAGTCAACAATAAGCAACCAACCACAGTAACCATAACCAACACATAACAACAACAATAACAACCATCACAGTAACCATAACAACCATCACAGTAACCATAACAACAATCACAGTAACCATAACAACCATGACAGTAACCATAACAACTATCACAGTAACAATAACAACCATCACAGTAACCATAACAACCATCACAGTAAGCCATAACACCATCACAGTAACCATAACAACCATCACAGTAACCATAACCACTATCACAGTAACCATAACATCCATCACAGTAACCATAACAACCATCACAGCAACAATAACAACAATCTCTGTAACCATAACAACCATCACAGTAACCATACAACCATCACAGAACATAATAACCATCACAGTAACCATAACAACCATCACAGTAACCTAAAACCATCACAGTAAATATAACCACCATCACAGTAACCATAACAACCATCACAGTAACCATAACCATCACAGAACCATAATAACCATCACAGTAACCATAACAACCATCACAGTAACCATAACAACCACACAATAACCATAATAACCATCACAGTAACCATAACAACCTCACAGTAACCATAAGAACCATCACAGTAACAATAAACCACACATCACAGTAACCATAACAACCATCACAGTAACCATAACCATCACAGTAACCATAATAACCATCACAGTAACCATAACAACCATCACAGTAACCATAACAAACCATCACAGAACAATAACAACCATCACAGTAACCTATAACAACTATCACATAACATAACCACCATCACAGTAACATAACCAACACAACACAGTAACATAACAACCATCACAGTAACCATAACAACCATCACAGTAACCATAACAACCATCACAGTAACCATAACAACCATCACAGTAAGCATAACAACCATCACAGTAACCATAACAACCATCATGCAACAAAACAACCATCAAAGTTACCATAACAACCATTACAGTAACCATAACAACCATCATAGCAACAATAACAACCATCATAGTTACCATAACCACCATCACAGTAACCGTAACAACCAACACAGTATAACCAAACAACCATCACATTAACCATAACAACCATCACAGTAACCATAACAGAACCATCACAGTAACCATAACAACCATCAAGTAACCATACAACTCACATGCAAAAGTAACCATCACGACTAACAACCATCACAGTAACCATAACAACCATCACAGTAACATAACGACCATCACAGTAACCATAACAACTATCACATGAACCATAACAACCATCACAGAACTATAGACAACCATCACAGTAACCATAACAACCATCACAGTAACCATAACAACCATCACAGTAATCATAACAACCATCACAGTAACCATAAGAACCATCACAGCAACAATATAACACACAGTAACGTAACACATAATTAACAACCATCACAGATCAAATTCCAGTAACTATAACCATCACAGTAATTTTCATAAACCAACCATCACAGTAACCAAACAACATCACAGTAACAATAAAAACCATCACAGCAACTATAACAACCATTACAGTAATCATAACAACCTTCACAGTAACCATAACAACCACCATAGTAACCATAACAACCATCACAGTAAGTATAATAACCTTCACAGCAACTATAGCAAACATCACAGTAACTATAAAACCATCACAGTAACTATAGCAAACATCACAGTAACTATAACACCATCACAGTAACTATAGCAAACATCACAGTAACTATAACAACCATCACAGTAACTATAACAACCATCACAGTAACTATAGCAAACATCACAGTAACTATAACAACCATCACAGTAACTATAGCAAACATCACAATAACTATAACAACCATCACAGTAACTATAAAACCATCACAGTAACTATTGCAAACATCACAGTAACTATAACAACCATCACAGTAACTATAGCAAACATCACAATAACATAAACACCATCACAGCAACCATAACAACGCATCACAGTAAGAAAAACACCAACACAATAATCATAACAACCATCACAGTAACCACCACAACCATCAAAGTAATCCATAAAACAACCATTACCCAGTAAACATACATACCATAACAGTAATCATAACAACTCACACAGTAATTAAACAACAATCACAGTAACCATAACAAACCACCACGATTCATAACAACCACCTCAGTAACCTATACAAAACCACTTTAACCATAACAACCATCACAGTAACCAAACAGAAATCACAGTAACTCATAACACACCACACAGTAACCACTGACAAACCAATCACAGCAACAATAGCAACCATCACAGTAAACTCCATAACAACCATCAATTAACCAAAACAACCATCACTGTAAACATAACGACCATCATAAGTAACATATACTAACCATCATAGTGACCATAACACCCATCACAGTAACCAAACAACCATCACAGTAACCATAAAACCATACAGTAACTATAACAAAAAATCACAATAATCATAACAACCATCACAGCAACAATAACAACCATCACAGCAACAAAACAACCATCACAGTAACCGTAACAACCATCACAGTAATTATAACAACCATCACAGTAATCATAACAATTATCACAGTAACCATAATAACCATCACTGTAACTATAATAACTACCACAGTAACCACAACAACCATCACAGTAAAACCATAACAACTTTTCACAGTAAAATATAAAAACCACCACAGTAACTGTAACAACCATCACAGTAATCATAACAACCTCCACAGTAACCATAACAACCACAACAGTAACTATAACGACCATCACAGTAACCATAACAACCACAACAGTAACTATAACGACCATCACAGTAACCATAACAACCATCACAGTAACTATAAAACCATCACAGTAACCATAACTAAACACAGTAACTTTAAAAAAACCCTCACAGTAATCCTAACAACCATCACAGTAACCATAACGACCATCACAGTAACATAACAAGCATCACAGTAACCCCAAAAACCCTCACAGTAATCATAAAAAACCATCACAGTAACCATAACGACCATCACAGTAATCAAAAACAACCATCACAGTAACCATAACGACCATCACAGTAATCATAACAACCATCACAGTAACCATAACGACCATCACAGTAATCATAACAAGCATCACAGTAACCATAACGACCATCACAGTAATCCTAACAAAACCATCACAGTAACCATAACGACCATCACAGTAATCATAACAACCATCACAGTAACCATAACAACCATCACAGGAACCACCCCAGTTACCACCAAAGTTACCATCACAGTACAAAAGCAGTAACCACAGTTACCACCATAGTAACCACAGTTACCCTATAGTATCCACAACAGTAACCACTACAGATACTGCCACAGTAGTTAACACAGTAACCATAGTTACCATCACAGTAACCACCAGTTACCACCACAGTAACTAACACAGTAACCACAGTTCCCATAACAGTAACCTCCACAGTCACCAACACAGTTACCACCACAGTAACTAACACAGTAACCACAGTTCCTACCAGAGTAACCACCACAGTAACCACCACAGTTACCAACACAGTAACTAACACAGCAACCACAGTTACCAGCAGCTCAGCTAATAATCACCTCAGAAGAGAGAAAGTGTACGCACAAAAAATGCATCACCTTGGGGCACTTTAATAATAATAATAATAATAATATCTTTATTTACTACCAGTACATGTACAAGGTATACAGTCCTAGCTGACAACAATGACATACTACTATATAGAAAGCCCTTTGTTATGCTCCGCATTTCAGGCAAATTAGGTCAGTGTCCCAGGATGCGACCCACACCAGTCGACTAACACCCAGGTACCCATTTTACTGATGGGGAACATAGACAACAGGTGGAAAGAAATACGCCCAATGTTTCTACTCTGGCTGGGAATCTAACCCAGGCCCTCGCCGTGTGAAGTGAGTGTTAACCACCAGGCCACCAGAGGCCACTTGCAGTCATGCCACCAGAGGCCACTTGCAGTCATGCCACCAGAGGCCACTTGCAGTCATGCCACCAGAGGCCACTTGCAGTCATGCCACCAGAGGCCACTTGCAGTCATGCCACCAGTACCCAGCATGGATCACAACATACCTTCCTCTAGTGTCTTCAACTGGTTTTCTGTCTCGTGGAAATTCGCTCATGTGTAGGGGAAAAAAAAGTCTTTCGGTAAATGTGTATTTACGTGTATGTATTGTTTAATTGGAGAACTAAAGCTGTGTACACGAGTTGTTTGATGATGAGTGTGGCACTCATCACGGCGGCACTGACCTTGATGTCTAGTAGTGAAAGTGGCAGGGTAGTGTTGGTAACGTTACCATACCCAAGCATATTAAAAATACATTATATCCCAGCATATATGGTTTATTATTCGTAAACACTGAGAGCAGTATGTGGCAGTGAGATGGTGGAGACGAAGCCAGGGTCCTGCATGAGAGACAAGTGAGAGTAGGAAGTGTTTACCTCACACTTGCTCTGGGTCGGTAGGAAGGTTCCTGCTCGGGTAGGCTTCACACACTCTTCCGGTATTGGGCGGAGCGGAACGCTCCTTTCCATGTGCACCTCCGCACATGCACACAAGTACCCTCATGTACACACGACAGTGGTGGAGGGGGGGGGGGGTCAGTGTGGTAATGGTCATATCCTCAGTGGTTTAGAGGTCACGGAGGATTATAAATATGGTGAAGGAGGCAGGAGATGCATCAGTTCCATCCAAGACATCAGTAGGCGCACACGCAGGGTACACTGAGAATCATGGTAAGCTGCCTCCTCCTGCCTCTAGTTCATTACTATATAACAAGTTCAAAACTTGCATCCCTTACTAAAAAGCTTATAGATGCCAAACATTGCTATGGTTGCTTCACGTTGCCACACTAAGATCACCTCAAGGTTCCCAACTGTGTCGTCTGTTACTGCTAATTATTCTAGTGAACAAATATATATACATTGACTGTGCAAAGTATCTTAATTTAAAAGTTTACAATGTTCTTCTCGTTAATTATATGTCAAAGTTAAGCCTCTAAATCATCGGCTTTATAACTTTAAATTTTCCATTTTTAATGTAATCTTTCCTAACTAGAAACAAAGTTCTCGAAACACACAGGAAAATACCAGTAAATGTAGTTCACACACACATGCACACACACACACACACACACACACACACACACACACACACACACACACACACACACACACACACACACACACACACAGTGAAGAGGCGGGGCCAGGAGCTCAGACTCGACCCCTGCAACCTCAACTAGGTGAGTAACTAGGTGAGTACACAGGGATGTTCCAGAGAGAGGACACAGAAACAAGGGGTCATAAATGGAAGTTGAAGACTCAGATGAGTCAAAGGGATGTTAGGAAGTATTTCTTCAGTCACAGAGTTGTCGGGAAGTGCAATAGTCTGGAGAGTGATGTAGTGGAGGCAGAATCCATACATAACTTTAAGAAGAGATACGATATAGCTCACGGAGCAGGGAGAGAGTGGACCTAGTAGCGACCAGTGAAGAGGCTGGGCCAGGAGCTGTGAATCGACCCCTGCATCCACAATTAGGCGAGTACATTTAGGTAAGTACATACATACACACAAACACACACATACACACACACATACACAACACATTTTGTTGCCGTTGCTGAAGCCTAAATTCACATTACAAACAACACAATATGACTGAGCTGTTTTCCTGTACATCTGGATGTTTGGTCAAAGATCATGTCTCATCTCTGTCTCTCGCTCACTAGCTGTAATGACTTCACCTCAGGTGTGTGTCTCACTTAATAATCTCACTTGAGTTGCACGTCTCACTACCTAAATGAGCTCACCTGAGGCACTTGTCTCACTACCTTAATGAGCTCACCTGAAGCACTTGTCTCACTACCTTAATGAGCTCACCTGAGGCACTTGTCTCACTGGCTTAACCTGAGGCACTTGTTTCACTAGCTTAATTAGCTCACTTGAGGCACTTGTCTTACTAGCTTAACCTGAGGCACTTGTTTCACTAGCTTAATTAGCTCACTTGAGGCACTTGTCTCACTAGCTTAACCTGAGGCACTTGTTTCACTAGCTTAATTAGCTCACTTGAGGCAATTGTCTCACTAGCTTAATGAGCTCACCTGAGGCATTTGTCTCACTAGCTTTCTCTAGTGGTGCCGTGGCACATCACAACACTCTAGTGGTGCCGTGGCACATCACAACACTCTAGTGGTGCCGTGGCACATCACAACACTCTAGAGTGTGCCGTGGCACATCACAACACTCTAGTGGTGCCGTGGCACATCACAACACTCTATGTGGTGCCGTGGCACATCACAACACTCTAGTGGTGCCGTGGCACATCACAACACTCTAGTGGTGCCGTGGCACATCACAACACTCTAGTGGTGCCGTGGCACATCACAACACTCTAGTGGTGCCGTGGCACATCACAACACTCTAGTGGTGCCGTGGCACATCACAACACTCTAGTGGTGCCGTGGCACATCACAACACTCTAGTGGTGCCGTGGCACATCACAACACTCTAGTGGTGCCGTGGCACATCACAAACACTCTAGTGGTGCCGTGGCACATCACAACACTCTAGTGGTGCCGTGGCACATCACAACACATCCTTCATTATAGGGTCAGTGTTGGTACAACCTCATTCAAAACAGAACAAATATTGTAATATAAACTTTGACTCCACTTATCATTTAGAGGTTTTAATATCACGTGGTATTCAGAACACTCTCATACGTTTTAGAACATTTACCAGAGGAGTACGATGCCGTTAACGATGTTAAGAAGTGTGACACTGGACCCAGGAAGCTCATTTTGCTAATCACGTGTTTTGTTTTTCATCCTGTGCTGCACCACAGTGGAAGGTCGTATTGCTATTGATCTCCGCGAGTGTTGTCCTCCAGCTGACGGAGGCGCAGAGCGGAGCAGAGAGCTTATCCTTCCACGGCTACATTCCCAGTGAAAATGTCAGGTATGTACCTACTTTTACTATCTCTTACGCCCTCACTCCTGAACCTACATCTATTCTGCCCTTTCTCTTCTCTCTTCTTATACAATAGTATTTCCCATCCACTACAAAGTTCTCTCAACTCCTCACTATGCGCAACAACTACCACATGTGTAATGCTCACTCTTCACAGGTTTTGTTAACTCGTTAAGATCCTTCCAACATCCAGTAGACTCTTGTAACTCCATATAAACCCATCCAGCTCCCTGTCGACCTTTCCAGCTTCCTATACATCCTTTCGGCTGCCTGTAGACACGTCTGATTTCCTGTATACCCTTCCAGCTACCTGTAGGCTTTTCATTACCGAGTATGGCTATGCAGCTCAAAGTAGACCCTTCCAGCTCCATGTATACCCTTCCAGCTCTTTGTTAACCCTTCCAGTTCTTTGTAGATCCTCCCTGCTCTGTACAGATCATTTTCACTCTATGACGTCCCATCTTCCTGTCAATCTTGTCACCTTGTAGAATTTTTAAGATCTCTATAAATACTTAAAGTGTCTAGCAGCTATCATCAGCTCCATACGTACTCTTACATACTTTTTAATTTCGTTTTCTTATTCCCTCTCAGAGCAGCGTTCTTTCTGTCTTCCCCCAACTCATTCCGGATTGACTTGCATCTTCCTTTGTTGCGCCCACTCTACCATCCCTCCAGCATCCATCATACATGCCATCACTTCATCATCCCATATATGTACTTCCTCCACTCCCATCATTGCACTGTCCACTGTACCTCTACTACACCTTCAACGTAATCTGCGGATTCATCTCATGTTTAAGCTTCTCTTTGCATTTACCAAAAAGAATTCAAATATTTTATTTGTTTCACAATTTCACTTTTATCCTTGCTTTTTTCCTAAATATCATATACTTGTGCCATCTTAAAAAGGCTCAACATAAATTTTCACATGTTTTCCCTACCTAACATTTCCCTCAGTAGTTTTACCGATGACACACGTGAGCTTCACCTGATATTTCAATCCCCAAGTTCTACTAATTCTCTCCCAAAGGTCCATTTGGTTTTCCATTGTTTTCTTTCTACAAATTCTTTAGGATCATCTTTGCTTCTCCAGTTCTATAAGAGTTCACTGTTCCACTCACCTGACTTGATATTCCACTCACTTTCCGCCCTCCCACTCACTATCTTAGCCTTGGTCACCTTCATGATTATCTTGAAAAATCTTCGCCTCATAGATCTGCGATTTTTTTTAAATAAAGATAATCTAAAGTAAAATGAAGATCAGTAGACGGATTTAAAACTGGATTAAAATTACTTCGCAAACATAAGTAGTTTTGTCCTATTGATACCGAAGAGAAAAATTATCAGATGTTTACAGACTCGAAGAATGCATTTTTTCCTTATACTTTTTACTCCATTCATAGTATAAATGTAAATAACATTTATTGTATACTTATGAATTATGTTCCTTCTGATTTTTGTCGTTATTCTCTGCTGAAGCTCAAAGTGTGTTCTTGACTTTCCTCCTCCGGCTTGCACTTAGATTATTTCCTCAGTCAGATGACCCAAAGCTCCAGCTGCGGGTCATCATGTGACTAAGACCCTCGTTAGGAAACATTTGTCCTGTTTCCTGATAAATATTACCAAGCTTAACCTTTCCTGATGGAAAAGATCATCCTCGGGAAGCCAGAGATGATGGCTGGTGCGGGTTAACGTAGGTAGAAGCAGAAGCTTATGTCTATGTGGCCTCGTGACACTTAAGATGTGACCTGTCCTCCCCCCCCCCCCGACCCTCAGTCCTCTCTCTTTCCTCTGTTTAATACCTAGCTTTAAGAATATTTTTGTTAGGACATACAGTACGTATAGCTGAAACACTGATGAGTAATTTTCCGATGTTTTGTAATACATGACTGTTGTGATTTAATATAGGAGTATAATTTTAAGCGAATTAAACTTCATAGAGTGACGATCCAAGTTGGCACCAGCAAGGTGTCAAACTGACCTCTATATATTGTCATGGCTCATGATCTATCTGACTTCTTCAGGGCGAAGGCTCCGAGAGGTGACGGCCAACCCAATGATATTTACCTTGCCTTCGAAAAGCCACGAACACTGAAAGACGGCGAAGAGGTGTTCTACCCCCGTAATATTGAAGGTTTCGGCTTCGAGTACGGTCAGGACCCTGAGGAGCACGTCTATCAGATCCACGACACAAACAAACTGCAGTTCAACAAGCATAGCAAGCAGTCACACGAACATAACAAGGGCAGTGGCAAGAACATCATACCAGCTGCCTCTGTCCTCGATATCATCGTCCAGCAAGCCCTTCCGCACAACTATGGTAACCCTGCCCCTCCTCCTGCCCTTCCTGGATACCCAGGCTCATCATTTCCTCGTCAGCGGTAAAATGCATGCTGCTAGCTGCTACGACACGTTTTGTAAATATTCCTTCCTCCTGCTGAGTCTTCATCAGTCTTCTGCAAGCCATGCTGGCTAACTAGTCCCCATGATCTGCCCTAATCGTATCCTTCATTCCCAGCATCCACATCCTGCTGCTTAATGCATTAGAAACTCATCGCCTATCCATCGTCTATTTTACCTATTCCACCCTTCTAACATCCACTCCAGGAGTTCATCCTCCATCACTCTCATATTCTTTCAGAAGTCCATCCTCCAAATCACTCACATCCAGTCCAAGAGTTTATCCTGTTGTGCTACACCTACTTCGAGTCTCCATCTTTCCCTGCCACCATAAGAATATTTTCATCATTCTGTTTCCGAGATGATATATGGTCTCCATCCTTCTTTCTCTTTAAGGTTATCTGAAGACCTCCTCTCCTCCAGTACTCCATCAGATGATCAGTCGGTCTTGTATTCAGAGACTGTTTCATGCCTGATCTCACTTGTTTACTCATCATCCCGGTGAAGCTGACCTTGTTCCTTCATAATCAATCAGCTTAACTCTGGAGGCACTGTCAATATAGATCTAATGCACTTTACGTTTCCTAATCCCACTGGGCATTATATAATTTGACGTTGTCAAGTCCTGCCACTGTCGTCCTCCCTGAATTATTTCAATCCTCTGTAACGTCTTTGAGAAAGGGGAATGTATCATGTCCCTAGGCTTCCATGGAATTGTAATTCTCACATCCTTTTTTTCTAAATGACGCCCATCTTTTACGTAACTTTTCATGTGCCCCCCATACATCAGTCAGGTCTTTCAACTACCTCACCCATCATGCAAGCATCAAACGACTCGATGAAATAAGCAATCTTTCATTGTTCCAGTCCTTTCAACAGCTATCCTAACCTGTCAACAATCATTCAATGTCATTTTCCCTTCATCATTGCGCTTATAGCCTCTTTCAACTAATTGCATGAAACGCAATATCCTTCAATTCCTTCCATTTCGCTAAATTCCTTCATTTAACTCCTTCATCCTTTCCTTCAATCCTACCACCTGGTTGAATCACCGGGAAGAAGAGATTTAAAGAGGGCATTACATATTTCCTCACCTTGTGATATTAGATTATGTATTTATGAATTTACATGTAAATATATATCCATAGATGCACACTCGTGTGTAACAGTGGACATTTACAAATCAAAATGCATGGGCTATGTTGTATTGTATACAACATAACTACCCGATAAAATGTTCGTGTGTTTGGCGCCATGAGTAGTCGAGCTGAGTGAAAGAATTTGTGTGTTGATGTCTTTATTTATGTACTGTGCATATTAAAAACAAAAAATATACATATATACAAACAAATTATCCTCTGTGTCTGTTTTCCCGACTTTCATTGACGTGTTTAAAGCGTTGTAAATGTGACTGCTGTAAATGTGACTGTTGTAAATGTGACTGTTGTAAATGTGACTGTTGTAAATGTGACTGTTGTAAATGACTGTTGTAAATGTGACTGCTGTAAATGTGACTGTTGTAAATGTGACTGTTGTAAATGACTGTTGTAAATGTGACTGCTGTAAATGTGACTGTTGTAAATGTGACTGTTGTAAATGACTGTTGTAAATGTGACTGCTGTAAATGTGACTGTTGTAAATGTGACTGTTGTAAATGACTGTTGTAAATGTGACTGCTGTAAATGTGACTGTTGTAAATGTGACTGCTGTAAATGTGACTGTTGTAAATGACTGTTGTAAATGTGACTGCTGTAAATGTGACTGTTGTAAATGTGACTGTTGTAAATGTGACTTGTAAATGTGACTGTTGTAATTGACTGTTGTAAATGTGACTGCTGTAAATGTGACTGCTGTAAATGTGACTGCTGTAAATGTGACTGTTGTAAATGTGACTGTTGTAAATGTGACTGTTGTAAATGTGACTGCTGTAAATGTGACTTCTGTAAATGTGACTGTTGTATATGTGACTGTTGTAAATGTGACTGCTGTATATGTGACTGTTGTAAATGTGACTGCTGTAAATGTGACTGTTGTAAATGTGACTGTTGTATATGTGACTGTTGTAAATGTGACTGCTGTAAATGTGACTGTTGTATATGTGACTGTTGTAAATGTGACTGCTGTAAATGTGACTGTTGTAAATGTGACTGTTGTAAATGTGACTGTTGTAAATGTGACTGTTGTAAATGTGACTGTTGTAAATGTGACTGTTGTAAATGTGACTGCTGTATATGTGACTGTTGTATATGTGACTGCTGTAAATGTGACTGTTGTAAATGTGACTGTTGTATATGTGACTGTTGTAAATGTGACTGCTGTAAATGTGACTGCTGTAAATGTGACTGCTGTAAATGTGACTGCTGTAAATGTGACTGTTGTAAATGTGACTGTTGTAAATGTGACTGTTGTAAATGTGACTGTTGTAAATGTGACTGTTGTAAATGTGACTGCTGTAAATGTGACTGTTGTAAATGTGACTGTTGTATATGTGACTGTTGTAAATGTGACTGCTGTAAATGTGACTGTTGTAAATGTGACTGTTGTAAATGTGACTGTTGTAAATGTGACTGTTGTAAATGTGACTGTTGTAAATGTGACTGCTGTAAATGTGACTGTTGTAAATGTGACTGTTGTAAATGTGACTGTTGTATATGTGACTGTTTTATATGTGACTGCTGTAAATGTGACTGTTGTAAATGTGACTGTTGTAAATGTGACTGTTGTAAATGTGACTGCTGTATATGTGACTGTTGTAAATGTGACTGTTGTAAATGTGACTGTTGTAAATGTGACTGCTGTATATGTGACTGTTGTAAATGTGACTGTTGTAAATGTGACTGCTGTATATGTGACTGTTGTAAATGTGACTGTTGTATATGTGACTGTTGTAAATGTGACTGTTGTATATGTGACTGCTGTAAATGTGACTGCTGTAAATGTGACTGTTGTAAATGTGACTGCTGTTTACTAAAGACTGACAGATCCTCAGTACATTTACGAGTCAGTGTTACAGTCTACCTGTCTCTCTAGTGCTGCAGAGTTGTTGTTGTTGATACTATTAATATTACTAGTATTTCTGCTGCTACTGCTAATACTACTACAACTACTACTACTACTACTAAACTACTACCACAACTACTATTACTACTAAACTACTACCACAACTACTACTACTACTACTAAACTACTACCACAGTTACCACTACTACTAAACTACTACCACAACTGCTAATACTATTACAACTGCTACTGTAACGACTACTACTACTACTGCTACTACTATTACTGCTGCTGCTACTACTACTACTACATCTAGTATTACTACTGCTGCTTCTTCTACTGTTATTGTTACCTCTACTATTACTACTACTGATACCACTGCTACTTCTACTATTGTTACTACTCTCGTAGCCTCTGCTACTACTGCTGTTGTTACTCCTACTACCACTACTACTATTGCTACTGTTATTATTGTTACCAATGCTTCTATTATTACTACTACTACTACTACTACTATTAGTGTTACTAATACTTATAATACTACTGCTATTATTACATTCAGAGAAAGCGCTAAATCTCCCATTCCTCAGTCACAGCGACTGAGGAATGGGAGACAATCATTTTCGATCCAAGGAGAGTGAGGTAAATGCATTCCCCTGGATCATGGGCCCGTCACCGGCATTAAGCCACCTCCCCTGGAGGGATCCCAACCTGCAGAACTGGATTTCAGAATCTACTGCGAGAAAAACAACTGCCACTGCACAGTGTAGCTTGGCATAGGTAAGTTCTGGCCGACTCCAGGACTCTCTGGTATACCTGTTATAATCCAGGAGGATGTTGGCATTTATTTGAAGCCATAGGGGAAAAAACAATAGTTGATGATGATATAATCCTCGGCCTCTGAAGAGAGGCTTAAGATAATGTGGAAACAATTGACGACTATATACAAATTTTATTCATAAAGATGATTACCCTCGACCCATGATATTGAGCAACCTCCCTGATGAAGAAGATTGGATACCACCAGAACCCTTCTATGTATACTGAGAAAATCATCGCCCCCAATTAGGGAGACATCTTAAATAACTTTCTAATGTAAAATTATGCTATTGACTATTGTTGGACACCACCATTAAGAAGCTATTGTCACGAACTTATAAACTGGCCAGAAAATTATTGCCTTTCTTGTTGTATAAATATCCGTTGTGCAATCGCAAAAAAAAAAAAAAAAAAAAAAAAAGGCAATTGCAACTTGTATAATTATTACCAGTTCAGAGTCATGTACTTATATACCTATTATATCTATGTGACTCTGATGGGTTAGTATTATACCCCTTAAAGAATATCTTATCAATTCACATACACTTTTTAAATTACACCAAAGTGGTTGGGCCACTTATCTTTTATATCCAACCTCTCTCCCCCCTCCCACCCTTTTCCAATATTTCCATCCTTACCCATCCTTCTTCCTTACCCATCTTACCAAAGCTCTGGTCATCAGAACTAGAACTAGAACTATATTATATAAAAAAAAGAACGTCATCGAATGACCGGCAGCATTGTAACCTGACAATTATTTTATCTCTACCGTCTTCGTAATTTCCTGACTTTTCGAGCCATAGAAGATATTTTGTTCTAAGTGGAAGATTTGAGCTCTTCGCTGTCTCCAAAACTTGGCACGGTAAGGCCGGCTTCGGAAATATAAACACATATGCAGTATAATGTGATCCTTTATTGACAACGTATCACCCTCACAGTGGGCTTTCTCAAGTCACAAACAGATCTACCTGAGTGGAAGGTACGAGAGTACCTGACTATAAATACTCTCTTACCTGTTTGTGACTTGAAAAAGCCCATTGTGTGGGCGAAACGTTGTCAATAAAGGATCACATTTTACTTCATATGTGTTTATATTTTCATTTATTTATTTATTTATTTATTTAGTAATTTTAGCATACATACAGAGGTACAAAAAATACAGGTAAGAGCAGCATGCCAAAGCCACTTATATGCATAGCATTACGGGCTGGCTTAAAATTAACTTAAGATTAACTAAGCAATGATGAAATCAGTGATAAAACATTATTGTAAACAGATAACTATAAAGCACAAATGAGTATTACAAAGACAGGTCATATGGTTGCTTGCATTGCTGTACATTCAGTCGAATGGAGTATTCTGTTAGGTAGTGTATTTAAAAAAATATAATAAAGTTAGATTGGGTCCTAGGTTTAACATTTGTGTGATATAATTGTGAGTAACATATAGGATATACAATTTATAAGGTTCAGTTATTCAGTATTTATTTGGTTTTTAGTGAGTAAGTGATCTTTGAGAAGAGACTTGAATTTATAAACAGGTATGTGTTTCTTTTATATTTACAGGTAATGAATTCCAGATTTTAGGGCCTTTTATGTGCATTGAGTTTTTGCATAGCGTGAGATGGACACGAGGAACATCAAAGAGTGATCTGTGCCTTGTGTTTATGGTCATGTGTTCTGTTGAGGTTGGCAAGGAGATGTTTGAGGGAAGGCTAATATCAGAGTTTAAGTGTTCTATGTATGTAATAAGTGCAATAATAAGTATGGATGTTTTGTATGGTGAGTAGGTTGAGTGTTTTGAATATTGGTGGAGTGTGTTGCCTGTAGTGAGAATTTGTTATCATTCTAACTGCAGCCTTTTGTTGGGTAATTAGTGGTCTGAGATGGTTAGTTGTTGTTGAGCCCCATGCACAAATTCCATAGGTGAGATAGGGGTAAATAAGAGAGTGATAAAGGCCAGGAGGGCTGACTGTGGAACATAGTACCGTATCTTCGATAGTATGCCTACAGTCTTGGAAATTTTCTTAGAAATTTGTTGTATATGTGTATGAAATATGAGTCTATTATCGAGGTGGATTCCTAGGAATTTTCCCTCTGTTAGCTTTGTGATAGGTGATCTGTTTATTGTTATGTTAAGAGGTACATCTGTAGCTCTGTTTACCAAACTGAATGAAGTAGGTTTTGTCAATGTTTAGTGTAAGTTTGTTAGTCCTCATCCAGGTAAGATATTTTCTGTAATTCGGTGTTTACAGTATTGGCTAGCGTGACTGGGCTCGGGTGAGAGAAGACGTATGTAGTGTCATCTGCAAAACGTGTGGGTTTGAGTAATTGCGAAGCATTTGGTAGGTCATTTATGTATAGGAGAAAGAGAAGAGGGCCAAGGACACTTCCCTGTGGGACACCAACTGTAATTGGTTGAGCGGAAGAGCTTGCCCCATTTGCGTACACATATTGGCTTCTGTTGCTGAGGTAAGACTTGAAGTAGTTGAGGGAGTGCCC